AAGGCATATGTGACTTAATATACTTTAATTGAGAGTTTATTATTTACAGTCTCACTAGATTATTATCTTTGTTAGAATGATATTGTTTGACATGTTATTGAACATTCAACCTTAGCATGCATTCTAAACAAAATATTAAAACGTGCCAGTACATGGCCCAACTAAAATCGATTTCCTCGAGCCTAGAGAAATTGGTAGGTCACCTAGGGGTCCTGTAATAAAATCTGGAGTCTTCAAGTATGATCGTCTCTTCCTTGATCCGTCTTCAAGTACATTACAAAAATATCATTCTAAATTTACAACAAGAATAATTATACAAAAATTCTTTCCATCAATAAATTTAGAAACCTCGATTTACATTCGAGGGGAATGAGATGAGAAGAGATTGTACATCGAGAAGAGGAGAAAGGCAGGACACGTAGACCCTATTTAATAAATTACAATCATACATACCAAAAATTTTAAAACATTCATCATAGGTCTAAGGCTCATGTACTGAGCACCATGTAATATACAAACAAGTGCATGGCATTCATTTAAAAATAATCAATTTTGAATTGGGTGGGTGAAATATTAATTAACCCCTGACAATCTGCAGATCTACAATTTAGTTTTGAAACATTACAATCTGGCCCTTGCTCACTCAGAAGTGCGCTCGCTGCGACGATGGGTTAGATCGTCGTAGCATGCGCTAATCAACGTCGCGCTCACGCTTCATGTGCGCTCAGCGCAACGATGGGTTATATTGTCACGACGAACGCTGATTTTGCAATCAGCGTGAACGCCAACAACACACACCACGGCGATGGGTTATATCGCCGCAGCGAGCGTACATTGATCTGTAGCAACAGATCAATTCAACCAGCCACCAAAAATACACCAATCAGATTTTGCAATCAATCTAAGATATTGATTTCAACAAAAATCCATAACCCAATGTTCCAAACTTGCAGATCATCAACAAATTAAATTAATCAATCAATTGATTTCTTAAAACATGCTCTCATGGCAGATTTTGTGTAGATTCTTCAAGGAAACAAGTTATCAATCAAATACATGTAATCAACCATCCACATAAAAACTGTAAAATCTGGTACCCTAGGCTCTGATATCACTATTAGGAAACGATCATACTGTTAGGAAACGATCTAGTGACGCAGCAAAAAAACAAAACATTTACATCATGGAACGTTCCTTAGAACCAAGATCTAGGTATATTAAATGAGAATATACAGATTTTAGTTTAGAGTTTAAGAAATCATATGCATGTTTGGAGGCTCCTCAAACTTGTCTCTGAGCATATTTCGGTGTTGACCCAAGTGTAGGATCGAACTAGTGTAGTCCACACGTAGATAACCTCAAGGAACTAAAGAGTGATTTGCTAGATCCTCTTTAGCTTTTAAGAACCAAGAAGAAAAATTGAGTATATTTAATTCCAAGCAAAATGCAATCTGGCATGGAGAGTATTTTAAGGGCTAGAGTGTTTTTATGAAAGAAATGAATGAGTCAATTTTTTTATTTCACAAAGTGTGCACTTATATTGTGCACACTATACCCTATTCCATCATGGAATGGGCTTGGGCTCCAACCCAAACACCCCTTGTATCCAAACATCCCCTTTAAGATATTTTTTAATTTTAATTTAACATTATTTCAATTAAATTCAATTAATATAAATTTACAATATCTATTAACATTTAACAATAATGATAATTTATTTAAATATATGCGAACACATATTTAAACGTAATCTCACTTATTTAATTTTAATATCAAATTAAATAAAGACTACGACCTCAGCAAATTTAATTGCACTGTGAAATTACCAAAATACCCTCTCGCCTAAAAAGACGAAAATGCCCTTCTCCTAATCTAGTTCTTAAATTATCTTTTATGTGTGTGATCCATAGGCTCCTCATCATATCGGTAGTATGTAGTATCGCGATTAACACCAATTAATCGTCTCACTACACACAGACCAAGATTGACCCCTAGCAAGGCATCATGACCACCCGATAAATTCGGATTCAGCGAAGCAGCTACCTCTCAATGATATGGTTATCGTACAATCCGATCCTTTTGTCATCCGTTATCTCGATGAGACCGAGGCATAGAAATAGTGTCAACCTCGGTTACTTTCGATATTATATATTCAATTACTAGACCAATGACCTGTATTATAAACTAGATAGAGCATCAACTCAATCCCACTATGGCCACAATTTTAGTGTTATTGCCATTTACTGAAATGCGCCGTGAGATAACTTATCTCGTACCCGGGAGTGATGAATCCTCTATCTATCTACCATAGTCTTAATACACTCCTTAATGTAATCAATCACCACCGTATTGACAACTTTGAATAGAACTGCATTAGGCTAATGTCAAACTACACCAATCGGTACACAAGGCGCTCCGGTGATCTCAAGTCTAAGGATCACATGCACCACCATTCGTTAGAGGATTTGTTCTATAGACACTGGGGTTACCATCCATATGGAATCCTCTAGTAGGACAGTCTAGTGAACTTGCCTACATCAAGCACCCATGTGTTACACCAGATTGTCACCAAACAACCTTAACAAGTGAGATCAATCACTGCCTTGCGACAGGGTCGTTCAACACTATGATAACCTTACCGTATTATCTGTGCCCTTACTTCAAAATAATACTAGGACTACAAACGTTTCTAGAATGGTCATTATATGTGCTCATAAGGTTCTCACTATCAAGATTTGAAACACTTAATACTCTCGTCACAGTTTTACCATTCTAAGGACATATATCAATACATAAAATGATGATTTACGCGATATAGAATATAATGCATTTTATTGATCAATGAACATTATTACAAAGAGTCAATTCTACAATAATTGATTGGCTCTAGCGCACCTACTCTAACAGTCTTCTCCTACAGTTGACCATTGGGCAGCGTTAGAGCATATTCTGTGTTATTTGAAAGGAGCTCCAGGACATGGTATTTTGTACGAAAATCATGGACATAATAATATTGAGTGCTTCTCTAATGTAGATTGGGCGAGTTCCAAGATAGATAGGAGATCCACTACAGGCTACTATGTTTTTGTTGGTGGAAATTTGATCTCATGGAAAAGTAAAAAGCAAACTGTTGTGTCTCGGTCTAGTGCAGAATCGGAATATAGGGCTATGGCCCAGTCTGTGTGTGAAGTAATATGGATATATCGGTTTTTGACTGAAGTTGGTCTTATGGCCTCTTTGCCAACGAAATTGTGGTGTGATAACCAAGCCGCTCTTCATATTGCTTCTAATCCTGTATTTCATGAACAAACTAAACACATTGAAATTGACTGTCATTTCATTCGTGAGAAAATACAGCAAAGTTTAATCTCTACAGGATATGTAAAGACTAGAGAGCAACTAGGAGATGTTTTCACTAAAGCTTTGAATGGGGTTCGAATTGATTATATTTGTAAGAAGCTAGGCATGATTAACATCTATGCTCCATCTTGAAGGGGAGTGTCGTAGATATTAAGTGTATAAATCTATAATAGGATATTAGGATTGTAATCAATATCCATTAAGAACAAATCTGTAAACTAGGAAGTTAGATTTTTCATTTCCTAGATTAGTTTTTTATTTTCCTATATATTGATGTATAATTTATCAATACAAAGATAAAAGAATTACAATTAGTTCTCTGTTTTGAAAATAGGATATACCATATTTAATTCCAACCATTCTAATTACATAAGTATAAATGTATTTATGCATGTATGTATGCATGCATATCAATCATGTGCAAAGAGCTTGCAGACATTCCACTAAAATCTTTTCTTGGACATTGATAGCAATTAGGTAGCTAAGTCCGCCTTAGAACATTATTCATATTTGATTATTATATCAATAATAATAATAATAAGACAACACAATGAATGACAATTAAAAAAAATTAAAAATATGAGTTGAATTTTAGTGATTAGTAAATCTGAAGCAAAGAAGAGCTTGAGCACCTACCATAAGCAAATTAGTCTAAGGCATGAGTTAAAGCATCTTCAAATGACTTTTTATATGATTTAAACTTTTTATTATAAAGAGTCTATCCATAAAAACAAGAGTCTAAGATACTTTTTATCTTTAAAATATAAATTAGAAAGTGAGTTTGACTCTCCACATTTAGAGAGTCAAATTTTACTCTTTATCCTAATTTTAATTAATAAACTACAAGTTCCTATGTATTTTATTTATTAATTCTCTCTCTCATTAAGTCACTTTTTTAAAAATAAAGAACATCTTCATTAAATTTAAAGAGGCTATTGAATTTGAATAAAAATTGTGTTCTTTATATTTTAAAATTAATGAAAATACTCTTTATTTATATGAAAGATGTCTTTTAAAATAAAGAGCACCATTGGAGATGCTCTTAAAGATGAGAAAGGCAAATTTAAAAAATTCCTATTGCCAAGGGCATATTCATTTCCATTTCTCATTTTCTTCTTTTTCCTCCTTTTAAAATGCAAATATTTGTTTAGCATATATTCTCATTTTCTCAGAAAAAGCAAAATTATGTTTTCTCCCTAAAAATCTAAAAAGTAATAAAAAAAAAAAAAAGGAAAACATATTCTTTTTACTGTTCTATTTGAAGACTTATTTATCAAAACCAGAAAGAATTTTTGAATTGTTTTATTTTTTATAAAGTAATTCTAATTTGATTTCTAAAACTATGAAGAAATTTAATAAAAAAATCAGATAATTATTTATTAAAACATATTTTTTTATTTCTAGAAAATCTTATTTAACAAGTTTCTGTATTTTATCTATCATAATGTTATTTTCCAGAAATGATAACCTCTAACAAAAAAAAAAAAAAAAAATTTGATTTTTTGCATTCAGTTTGTCAAAGTAGAAAATGAAAATGGAACCGAAGGATGGCCCCTCAGAAACTTGGAAGCACTAATTTTTGCCTTTTTTCAGAATTTTTTTAACTTATCACTAACCATCTTCTACACATTAAATATGGTCTAATCATCAAACTGAGCATATGAAAGCAACTGATTGGAAATTAAAAGAAGAAGAAGAAGAAAAAACAATTTGTGCATCAAAAGAACTAGTAGACTTTCCTCACAAACATACTGCCTATAGAGATCCTTCAAACTTACTTTTCCACCAGCAGACTTGATAATGGCAGATAGCGTTTTGACAGGGGGTTGAACATGAGCAGCCATGCTTATGTTGTATCCTTTAAATAAACCTCCTAGCCTTGCTTTGGCTCTAAGAACTGCAGTTTTCAACTCAGCTCTGTACTTCAACACATAATCTTCATCATATAATATATAGGGTAATTCATCTGCACAGGGAGATAGCAGGAAGTCAAATAAACTGTGAAAGTGCTTTGATAAACACGGAGAACGAGCAAAATATTATCATGAACTAACCTACAAATCTTCCTTCTCTAAAGCTTTGTTTTAACCACCTGGGTGAGACTATCCATGCTCTGCATTAGGGGCCATCACCTCACCATTACATTATGGCATGTGTATGTTAAAATGAAGATCTCATGCATGCAAAATATCGAACAAGGCACCTGAAAATAACTAGAACTCGAGAAGAACAAACTACATGTCTTCAAGGAAATGAGCAATAACAAATCAGACACCACCACCACCCAAAAAAAATAAAAAATAAATAAAAGATGGAGTGAGGGGTGGTTTATATCCAGCCTCTGTGATGGTTTATATTATGCAGGTTTCATGGGAAGTAGACAAGTCTTTCCACTTTGTTCATCTTTCTGAAACTGAGTTTGTATCTCAACAAGATGCTTGGCATTCTAGAAATTATAGCTGTCATGATAATAAATCACTCAAATCTGGTGGGGGCTTATTTTGTTACACTTCCATAAAGTAACACCATAGATCAAATATTCAGCTTTTGAAGTTTATTCTGATGGAATATTAATCCAAATCGGAACTACAACAATGACCATATAGAAAATGAATAACATTGAATGAAATGAGAAAAAAATTTGTAAAAGAAAAAACCTTCATTCTACCCTCAGACACTACAAGGTCTTTTAATGACTATAAACTATACCATCCAAACAAAAAAATCAAATAAAATACTCAGGAAAATACAATGTATCTTAATAGACAAACAGAAACTCAAAGAGGAGACAAAAAGAAATAACCATCAAGTGATAAAGAGTCGATGAAAATGAAAATTTTCTTATGCATTTTCAACAAATTTTCCCGAAACACAAAATTCAGTAATTTCTAAAGTAAGAAAATTATCAAAAAAAAAAAAAAAAGATCATAATCAAAACAGAAATTTGATGAATATATGCATGTAACCATGTAAAATATGCATGTTAGATTTGAGCAATTCAGCAAAGTATAGTAAATATGAGGATCCAACTAAGACTAACCCTGAACAGAGAGCAGTGCAGAAATTCAGGGCCTTTCTCACTTTTCCTGTGACAACATGGAGCTTATACTTCCATCACAGGTAACAGCACCGCCTAAGTTTTCAATTACCTACATCAAAATGATTAATGCTCAAAAAATACATTCAAATAGAAACCTCTGAGGAAAAGAAAACATTATTTAAAAAGTACTGACACCAAACGGTATATCGAAAAATTTGTTGGGAAATAGGTGGGGATCTAACCAAATAAGAATCACCTGAAATCATCACACAAGAACATATCCTTGGAGTTTGCTTTGAACTCACGCAGAGTGTCAATAAACTTCTCTACTTTAATTTCGAAACACTAAAAGGGTTACTGTTTAATTTTATTGAACAGATTTTTCCTGTTGGATATTAGTTTTTACAAGATTCTTTCTTCTAATCACATATTGCATTTCAACATTATCAATTAGCATAGTGAGATGTAGTATTGCATGCCTTTTACATATCTTGTTGATGTTCAATTACAATATACAAGTATATTGTAGCTGCAGTTTGTGCCAGTATTTTGAAAATTTCCTTCAAAACAGGAAGATTAAGATATACACCGATGGTAGATTTATTTTCATTTGAAGCGGACTGATTATTAATAATAAGATGTGAAAGGTTCTCCATGTCCAGATGGGGAAAATATTGGAAATTCTCCTAGTTGCATACCTTAGTTTAGAAGAAAAGAAAAGACTTAAGAAATGGACATAGTTAAACTTTGGTAGATAGTTTAGGATATTTTTTTTAGAATAGCCAATGGAACATGTCTCTTTAAGGACTTGTCCAGCAAAGTTCCTTTTAATGGTCTCATCAATAATGTAAACTCAACATTGAGGATTTTGATTAGTTTGATAACAAATCTTCGTGTATAATTAAATTTCCCTTATGCAGTTCTCCGGCGGAATCAAAAGAAAAAATGCCAATCCTCTGTGGCATTTGCATGTACAATAGAAAATAGTATCATTTTAGAAACCTAATTCTGAGAGGCATCAACATCAGGAACTATTTCCAATAAAGTCAAGATAGGTAAGGAGATGGTCAACTTCTAATTGTTGCATATTTCTAAACATTTATACATGGATCAGAATCTCAACAACATACCCAACTTCAATTACTGCAATAGAAATAGCAAATTATCAATACCTTTGTGCCAGAAAATATTAAATAAAGGAGACATACCTTTGTGAGGTGCATTTTCTTAGAACATTCAGCAATATTCATCAACATGATTCTGAAGCATTCTCCATTGGACAGAAGTTCTTTGCTAATAAGACCTGCTGAAGTAGTACAAACTGCTTCATCTTTTGCACTACTTTTTATGCAACTACTAGTCAAAGGATAGCTAGGAGTAACTTCCACCAAAGATTTACTTCCTCAAATCACCAAGGCTTCGTCACCTTCTGAAACTAAACCGGAGGTATAATCTAACTGACAATCAACATGATGACTTCCTTTAACTTTTTTGGACTTCAATGAAGACAATGAGGCTTCCCAAATCCTCCTCTTTGCACATTGAGCAGAGCAAGTACAGTGTATAGCATCAGTATCAGCCCCAATCTTGGCTGCAGTAATGGCCATGTTGCTGCGCTGTGCCTTCTCTAAAGTAGTTCGGTCCCCAAAACTATGCATTAAGTCCCAACCCTGAGAAAAACCTGTTAAAAACAAAGGGGAAAAAAAAGGTCAGCACCTAATATAAAACCTATGAAATTTTGTTAGGAAGACAAACTGAAAGAGGTGACACTTAGATATCATTAGAAATCAATTTCTAAATTTTTGTAACAGTTGAAGTAGGTCTACACTAGATACTGAAAACGGAATCAGAGAGCATCTTGAAGGTTTCAAGATCTACTCAATGTGATTTCATCTCTAGTCATGAATCTTTCTTCCATGGTCACTTAATAGAAGGGAATGCATATTTTCAAACTATATGAACTCTGTGTTTGTGTGTGTGTGTGTGTGTGTGTGTGTAATTTCACTTACCAGCCAACCTGGTTTCTTCTCTTGGAAACCCATCTTTTACCAACTGCTCAGGTTGACAACTTTTTGCAGTGGAAGAGATTTGATTCTGTGACATTGGTAACTTGTTACACTCTCCATCAAGTTCAGGCTCTACAGATTCATTAACAGATAACACTGAAGACTTCCCACAAGGCTTTAATGGAAAACAGAAATTTAGAGGATCTGGAATGTTAGTTGAAGGGTTCTTGTCAAGATGAGAGATCATGAAGGTTGAACCACCAGGAAAGCATAATGCTTTACGAATGTCAACCTTAATGGGCAACCTGCGAGCTCTACCCATTGTGTCTACCTCTGCTATTGATTGAAAACCCTGCACTTTTTCAATTACTACCAAACTCAAACTCAAACATCAAATATTATATAACTAGCTCCTGCAAATATGCTAACCATTTCTTGTTTAAAAAAGAAGCAAAACAGCTAGCCACTGTCAGAAAATTTATATTATAGAAAATGAGGTCTTTATACAAAAATGTTAATTTGGTAAAATAAATAAAGAGAAGGAATGAGAAGAAAGGTTACTTCTCTAATAACAATTATGTCCCTTTCCATAGATATAATTTCAAGTCAAGAATTACCTGTTTAAGCCGAAAACCTTCAGATTCCTTATAACCCCAACAAATTACTGTGCATATACCAACACCCTGAAGTCTCTTCCTTAATTCCATGTACAAGAAGTGACCAAATCCCTGAAGGTATTAAAACAAGGAAATCGGTTGAGGGAAAATTTTCTAGATGAGTCTCACATGAAAAATAATAGGAGGAGAAAAAGATTATTAACAAGTACTAATAATAGATTTTCACATGCCTTATTATTTTGTAAAGAAATTTTGCACAGAAAGGAGAGGAATATAAGATCCAAAACTTAACATAATGAAGGTACTATTAATTAAATAATAAGGTATTGATGAGCTATCAGATTCGGGAACATTCACAGTCAAAGAAATTTGTAAATGAATTCAATTGTGTACACCAAATTTTCTTTGCAGATTTTATTGGTCGTGCATATTTTGCAATCATTATAGATTATTTTGATCCCCTGTCTTCATTGTGATCAGAAACCAAACCAAACAGTATCAACTCCTAGATAAAAGCATTAAACTATCACAATCAGAGGGAAGAAATTGGTTATGGCTGTACATAACAACACGAGTAATTTCAGACCAATTATAAAAGCACTAACTGAATGGCTTTTTGGGCCAATGTAAGCAACATAACGGTATAGAATGAAAACATAAACAACAACCACCTTATGTTGGTAGATTGAGCTAACAGCAGCAAGTGGGACCTCAGCATACTGTGTGTCAGCAGGAACAATTTGATAGGTAATTGCAGCTACAACCTACATAAATAAAATAAAGGAGAAACAATTACCAGGTAACCAGGGAAAAGTGAAAACCTAATAATGCCAATGAATATTCTAAATTGTGCAGAGATAAATAAGGTGCTTAGACACAAGAAACATTCACATCAATCATGAAAAATTAAAAAAGCACTTATCTAGGGATCCTTTGCAGTAACTATATTATTTGGAGAACTTTTAAAGTATGCCCTAAAGCCATATGCTAAGAAACTTAAAATTAGAAAGTTTGCATGTAACAACTATCACCTACATATATAATTTATGTTCATAATACTTTGACTCTTTCAAATAGTAAATAATACAAAGTTACCATTTTAGTTTTGAAAGGCACGTGTTAACATAACCCTCTTAAGAGACTACACCTTTGTCGGGTACATGAAGCTTACCCAACAATAGATATATATTATGAGTCCAACACCTTTAGTAGACACAGAAACCATAAATAACTAATAAAGTTCCATAGTTAAGATACTCTTGTTTGTTAACTGCAAGTTAATAAGAAGATTAAGAACTATCCTTGTAGGTACTTGCTAAGATAAGGATGATGTTTTTCTGTGGTTTGGACTAAGGGGTGCTATCCATTCTTAGTTTTCTCTTCTATTACATGATTCTAGTGGACTCCAATTACTGTTAACCTTTTCTTGCCTCTTTAAAAGTAAATTTTTGTTTCTCATCCCCAAAAAATGAAAATAGAATAAAATAGTAAAAGTTTCTACATACCAGACTTTACAACAAAAGAGCAAAACAAGCCTACCGCTTCATAACCTTCTGTGGATTTGGATTTCAAAAGCAGCGTACAATATTTCCTGTAGGATTAATTTTAACATTATAAAAATTTCTTGACCTAGCAACTAATTATGCCAATCAGCAAGAAATTATTGACAGAATACATATCTATATGTTATGTATATATAGAATATATCAATCTATATTGTAGAATTGTAGGCTGCCTATTTTAGTGACCCCATTTACTCATTAACTTGTGATGGGAATAGAATGGATCACAATTATGAGTATTAATTTTTTTAAACCTTCACAACATGCAACAAGCATAAGAGAAAATGAAAGCATTTTGTACCCATTCAGTACACATTTTTCAAGGAACATCGATTGCTTTCCAGTTTTAGCAACATAATTCATTGTGGGGAGCTCTCTTGTGTATATATTAAGTACTTCCTGAAAAACCACTATGACTACTTAGAAGGAATGTGGCTTCTAATAGGACAAGTGAATATGTGATATACCAATCAATGTACCTAAAAATATCATAAAGCAAAATATCATAATTAGGCTTAATATATCAAATTCAAAAGATAAACAAAGTGTAAGTCTCTCATAAAACTATTTGACGACCATCTAAAAGAAGAAATATTTATACTAATAAAGCCGCCGAAATTTTCACTTCATGAAGTCTCAACTCTAAACCTATGAACAAGAAGCCCTTGTACGCTACATATACAAAGACAGATGTTGTTAGGATTATTTTAGAATTAGGATAATTATGTTAAGTCTTTTATAATTATCTTTGATAATTATGCTATTATCTTATTATGATAGAATATCTTATTAGATTTTAATTAGGTAATTAGAGTTCTTTTAGGAGTAATTTGAAGTCAAGTCTAAGGCTATATAGTAGAATAAATCTAGATTGTGATTATCAATGAAGAATTTTGTCAATTAATCTCTCTATTTCTTGTTCTTGGAGGTCTTTGTTCCTGATATAAACAGATCATATCTCAAACCCTATCATTGGTGCTCTTGTTCCCTTTCTATGGTTGACCCTTCTCGTCTAAAGGCTCTGGAAGAACTTGTCTCTCAACATAGGGCGAGATTGGACGCTCAAGAGGCCAAACTTGACTCCCGAGAGGGTCTTTTGATGGCTATTACACTAAAACTAATTGTCATTGACTCCAAGTTAGAATAAGAACGAAGACAAAAGGAGCTCAAGGAGGACAGTGAAACAAGTGGCGATGGCACTCCCCCACTCGACTCAAGTTCTCATTCTTCTAGGTCTGCGCCACCTTTTGAGCCTTTCCGTTTAGAGGTGCCTTGCTTTGATGGCACAAAACTGCAACTCACGACCTTTTCCCTGGAACCCAAAGTCTTTTCTCAAATGGGCCCCATTGACCATTCTACCCATTATGCCGCGGTTGTTGTCAGCCACAAGTCTACTGTTGACCTTACCTTGGTCCCTCTGGGTCATAATAACAACAATCCTCTACCACTACTGCCAGCCTTCACCAAGCCTCCCACGCGTTCCGATCTCCCTCTGATGTCACTACCTGGCATGGTGTTGGCCCACGACAAAGGAACAAGTGACTTCTTTACCGTGCTGATTTTTGACCCCGACGGTGGAACTTTCATTGCCTCTTTATTGCCTTGGAACTCATTTGCGCCTATGATTTCTTATGGTGCAATATCTTACAACCTTGAGGACAAGGTTGAACCAAAGGGGAAGGCAATGTTAGAATTATTTTAGAATTAGGATAATTGTGTTAAGTCTTTTATTATTATCTTTTATAATTATGTTAAGTCTTTTATAATTATATTTGATAATTATGCTATTATCTTATTAGGATAGAATTACGATTATCTTATTATCCTTTTATAATTATGATAAAATATCTTATTAGATTTTAATTAGGTAATTAGAATTCTTTTATGAGTCATTTGGAGTCAAGTGTAACGCTATATGATAGCATAAATCTAGATTGTAATTATCAATGAAGAATTTTGTCAATTAATCTCTCTATCTCTTGTTCTTGGAGGTCTCTATTCCTCATACAAATATATCATATCCCAACCCCTATCAGATGTACCTAAAGGTAGGATTTCTCACTGTCATCGGCATTCTTAGGATTAATTAGTACAATCATATAATCCTCCCCTCCACAAGCCAAAAGAATCAATAACTAAACAAGGAATCATCAAATTATATCAGTTAAAACCACCATAACTCTCAAAATTAAAAAAGAAAAGAAAAACCTAGTATTTCAGTTGCAACAATGAAATTTAAAAAGGAAATTAATGAAAAAACAAGCTTACCTTTTTCCTCAGGTTTTGCGTTATAAATATCACCACTTGACTTCGAATTTACCCCTTCTCTCACTGTCAAAAACAGTTAACATTTATGAAAGTATTAGAATTAGTTACAACTAAGAATATTTAATAATTTATAAACAAAATAGAGAACTATTTACTGATAACTCAACCTAACTAGAACATATTGCATATTTATTATCTAAGAAACAATATAAGAATAAGAAATAAATTAAACAAGTGCCTGAGATATTGATTTTTACAGTCTTGCAGAGGGAGATTTGGACGGTGTTTCGGTGGTCAGATTTGCCAGTGAAGTTATTTGCATCCATCAAAACCTCACAGTTGCCTGCCAAAAAAAAAAAAGAAAGAAATTAACAATAGCAATGAAGAATAAATGAAATTGATTTCTAGGGTTTCTGGAGTTGTTACCGATTGGGATTGGGAGAGGAGATTGAGGCTTCTTCTTTGGCGCCATGCTTTATGTTCTTGAGTTTCGAATGGGAAATGTAATCTTAAATAGGCGGGAAGAAAGGGTATTCTAGGGGATTTGCTTATATGTGGTGGCATTTTAGTCATTTCAATCTTTACTAATTTCTTGCGTTAAATGAAAAATTCTCAAGTTTAGGTAAATATCAAAACTTCCCTTAGGGAGTGTTTTGTTGGGGATAATGTGATATTACTGAAATTATGTCATCTCCTATTACTTGATTACCACGTTTGTTTGTCAAGTAATATAAGATTCTAATAATCTTCAAATACCATAATAGTTACTATTGGTAATACTGGAGGTAATCTGATTACCTCCATTTTCTTAGGTATTCTAAGATTATCAGGGTAATCTTTTTTTGTTACAATTATATCTCTTATTAATAAAATTTTAGGACAATAATGCCCTTATTTTTAAATTTATTTATATGAATATGACTTTTACTATTTCACCCCAATTAATTAACTTTTTGGATAAAATTACCCTTGAATTCAAAACAAATTGTAGCCCAACCCACCCACCTGCTGCTGGCAACCACTGCTGCGACTAGTCGCCGTCGAAATGGCGCATGGAAGGCCAAAAATGGTCGTCGTGCACCGATATGGCCATTTTCGACTAGATATCTACCCGAAAATGGCCAGATCGTGATAGATCTAACCGTTGACGATCAAATCTAATCTGGTCGTCAAAGGCTAGATCGACAGATCTGGTCGTCAACGGCCATCGATCTAGTTGTCAACGACCATCGATCTAGCCATTGAATGCCAGATCGACGAATCTGGCTGTCGACGGCTAGATCTTTGGCCAGAAATGACCATACAGCGCACGAAGGCCATTTCCTACCTTCCGTGCGCCGTTAGGTTGCCAACTGCCGATGGCCGACAGTGGCTGGGTTGGTGGGGGTGCTTTGTTGATTTTCCAAACTTTTATTATGGGGTTGTTTTTGCTAAGTTTTTAAATGCAAATGGGTTATACAATCCAAATAATAATCAATATTAAAAAATAATAAAATAATAATAATATTTAATTAGAGGACAATTTAGTAATTTAAATAACATATCCACCAATTTATTCATCCCAACCAAACATATTAATATAATATACCCACCAACTAAATAAACACATTTTCCTAAAAATTCTCAGTAATCTTCGAGGTAATCTAATCTTGCAGTAATCCAACATTCCCAGTAATCTAACATTACTTAAACCAAACGCATCTTTAAGGTTTCTGAAATAATAAGATTCATCTATCATGAAGTTTTAAATGCTAAAATAAATGGTCTAAAGGTATATATATAATTGATGGCCAACTTTTGCCCTTGCTACAAGAGGTGAGTAGTTCTAAGTACCCTGCGTTTTTTGGAGGAACCGAAACTGAAACAAAACCTGTAGGTTGCTAGGAAAAAGAACTGGAACCTGAAATGCAGGTTCCGGTTCCTTACTCGGGTACCCTATAAAAAATCAGTTACCCCCTTATTAGTTTAAAAAATGATAAACACATCTTAAAATTATACAAATACATCTCTAACAAATTAAGAAAACCTTAAAATTATAAATATATATATTTTACAAAGTATACTTATGGAATTAATTTTGGGAATTAAATTTTAGTAAATTTTATTATCCAAAAATACAAATATTATATAATATTATAATTACTAGAATGAAAATAGAGTTAAATTAACATTAATTGTGAATTTGTGACAAAAGAATAAAATTAAATATTAATATTAATATGATTTATGAATGTTTAATTAAATAATTAGTATGACTTTAACTTTAAGTTTGTTTAATGATTTCTTAATATAACGTGACTCATGAGGCACGAGTTGTTCTACTATAATGTACTAATAATTTAATTAAGTAATGTAATAATTTAGTAAATTACTAATATTTATAATATAATGTTATAATTAATTAAGTAATCATATTATAAATCTATAATGTAATGTTATAATTAATTAAATTTCTAATTATTTAATTAAGTAATGGACTAATGTAGTAAATTGCTAATGTTTATAATATAATGTTATAATTAAGTAGCTAATCATTTAATTATAATATAATGTTATAATTAATTAAATTTCTAATCATTTAATTAGGTAATGTATTAATATAGTAAATTACTAATGTTTATAATGTAACTATAATGTAATGTTATAATTAATCAAATTTCTAATCATTTAATTAAGTTATATACTAATGTAGTAAATTGCTTATATTTACAATGTAATGTTATAATTAATTAACAATTAGGTAATCATTTAACTAATAATGTGCAATGTTTATTAATTTATCATATATAATTATTTAATTACTAATTTACTATAGATGTAATTAGAATTTGATAATTGAAGAAAATAACTAAATATTATTCAATCGAATATATTATTTTATTAAAAAAAAATAATTCATTTAATAACATTAAAACACTTTTAATTGGATCCTAATTCCAATGATAATTTATACACTTAATTAATCAAAACTTTAATATTATAATATATTAAAGTCTTTTATATGTAAAAATTTTAATGTATTAATTTGATTAGGTTATTATAATATATTAAAGTCTTTTATATCGTGAAGTATATATGTATAATTAATAGTATATATATTTGATTGGTTACTGTCATTCTTACACTATAATTTTTTATATAACATTTCATCCCATTAGGTCATTTAAAATTTTTTTATATGCAAAATTACAAAAGACCCCAATTCTTTATTAATATTTCATTTGAATCTAGGTTCCAATACAAGTTCCTACTTGGGTACTCGGACTCAGTTCCAAGACACATTCCATTCAGGGTACCCAGGTGAGTACCCACCAGGGTACCTGTATGGGTTCCCATCACAGGTTCTGGTTCCTGCACATATAGGATTTGAAACCAAACCTGCATAGTAACGGTTAGGGGTGTAGTCGAGTCGAGTATCTATCAAATCAAACTCGACTCGATCGCTATAGTACCAAGTTTGAGTTCGAGCTTGATCGAGCCTAAGAAATCAAGTTCGAACTCGAACTCAATACTTGAAATTGGAAATCGAGTTTGAATTCGAGTTCGTATAATCAAGTTTTAATCGAGTTTGAGTTCGAACTCAATTTCAAGCTCATCTAAAAAAGTTGAAAAAAAACATTAGTGCTTGATGACAGATTTCTCCACTACAATTTGCTGTGTATTTGCAACCTAACTCTCATCAAAGTTCAAACAACCATTACATAACAAATAGAAATATAAGAGTGATAATAAGTTCATCATCAATTAATCATCATGAAATAGCATAAGGCCATAAGCTGTTGCCTATAACACCTTCTTTCTAGGTAGCATACTTGGAAAATATACTATGATAAAGTATTTAAGCATAAGATGAAAAGTAATGGGCCCAAAAATTTTCTTTACATAACAAAAATAGTAGATACAATAGCTTTAATACAGTGGACAGTAATGCCATTTCTCTTCTCGATGTCCGTCCGACCGCTCCTCGCCTATTTCCTGCAAAACATGGAGAAACAACGGGGTGAACACTAATTGCTCAGTAAGTAAATCCTCTACTCTTCTATCCCCGTGACTTAATCTTGAGTTCTTTCCTTACTCTATTCTTTTTCTTCTTCATTCTCTTTTTACTCTTTCTCTTTTCTTTCACTGTTTCTAGTTCTTACTGTTCTTTTATTCTAACTTTCTTTGTTCTTTCTTTCTAATTCTCTCTATTCTTTCTTTCTTATCTCTCACAAACCATGATAGGAATCATGGGAACATGCATGGATGAGATGCAAATGCACAAAATGCATAGAGATACATTTTCTTTCTTTCTGTTTCTTTTCTTCCTTTCTATTCTTTCTATTCATTCATTCTTTTCTTTCTTTCCTTGCTTGCTTATTCTTTCTTATACTTTCTTACTCTTTCTTATTCTTTCTTACTCTTTGCCGATCGGACTCGGTTGATGCATGGATTCGGAACCTTGGCCGTGTGAGTGAGTATAGTCCTCATCTACATGCACTCTTACAGTCTGTATAAATTCTTTTCTTCTTAGGCCACTCAATTAAGGTGGCGTGCATATAGGTATTTCTTCTTGGTAAATCCCTCATTCAGATACACTCTTACGGGCCGTACAAATTCTTCTTCTTCTTCTTAGGCCACTCACTTAAGGTGGCGTGTATGTGGGAATCTTCTTCTTCTTGTCACTCACGGGTTCCCCATCGCAACAACCTTTCTTTTCTTCTTTTAAAGCTCTTTTTTTTTTTTTTTTTTTATTCATTAGTGCTTTTCTTTCTTTCTCTTTATTCTTAAAGTTCTTTATTCTTTAAATTCTTATACATATGCAAATATATGCATGTGGATGGCTCATGCTTATAATTCTTTCTAAGTGCAATCATGTAATGCAAAAATGCCATCTAGCACAAAAATAAGTTTTCTCTACTCATGCATACACTTCTCCTAAACATTTCGTCAAACATCATGCATGCATACTCCAATTCTATTTTAACTATAATTCTACTTCTTTCTTAAACCATCCATATTTAGAGTAAACCTCCTCTAAAACAAGATTAAACTTAGCCAGGAACCACACTTCAAAAATTCTCCTCAAACTCCACTTAATCACCATACTACCAAAACCACTTCTCATAGCTCACTTCTACTCATCAATAACCATCTACTCATCAATCAACACCAGTCTCATCAACAATTCTCAAAATTAAAGGCATATACATGCATATACAATCTCTACACACTTAATTTCTTAAATCATAACTTGGGTTGGATTTACTTACCTTGTGCTTGAGTAATTCCACTAGAATTCCTCTTCCTTTGGTAGACTTGTTCTTCCTTTAAAACCGTAAGCATGAATTCTATAAGAGTTCAACACTTTTAAAATTAAATCTCATATCTATAGGAAGAATCCTTACCTTTGGATGCTTAGGATCAAATCTTTACCAGAAGCCTTCTAATCTTCCTTAGAAATTTGATGAAAAGATGAGAGAGTTGGAGAGT